TTTTAATTGTTTTCATCTTCTCTCTTAGTTGGTTCCAGGGAGTGAGGAGGAGGTACATCCTGAGTACTAATACTTTTCCCATGGAAAAGTCAGGTGCCAGCTATTGGTATTGCCGCCAGCAATGAAGAATTTCATCCATTCATTTGTTCTTACATCGGATTAGTCATAGGGGAAATAGCGTAGCATAGAGCCTAAGCCCAACATGAGCTTTGGATCTTCCTTATAATCTTAGATCTGTCATTTACTGGCCATGCTGGTTTGGAAAATTTATTTAATCTCTCTTAGCTTTAATTTCCTCATCCATAAAATCAAGATGATAATGTCTACCTAATAACATTTACTGAGTGCTTACCATGTGCCAGGCACTGCCATTTAATTCCCATTTTACAGATGAGGAAATGGATATGCAGAGAGGGTAAGGATCCACGGGTAGGAAGTGTAGAACCAGGAGCCGGTCATAGGCCATCTGACCCCACAGATCTTGTGCTTGGTGCTGTGCTTTATGACCTCATAGGTGTGGCGGTGGTCAACACAAAGCCATATGGAAGGATCACATGCCATGTGTCTGGTACATGACAGACACTGGATATGCTAATTTTGTTAATATTTTTGAGCACCAAACATGTCAAAGGTAAAGGCTTAGGCTTTAGGGATGTGAACAGGCAAAGATACACTCTGCCCTCAAGTTGCTACCAGTTTGGTAGTGCCACCAGATATATGTGGGCCAAGAGGCAAACAGACAATCATAAACTACCACTACTAAAAGAAACCACAGAAAACATAGAACTTCCTCACTTGACAGGAGAACACTGAGGCCCAAAGTGGGGTTGGGGGTGAGTCACTCAAGGTGGAAGCTTGGACAAGAATCTAGATCTCCTACACTGGAATGCGGGGTCCTTGGCCTAAGAAAGTGTCCAAAAAAAGGCAGGAGATGGTCCTTATCCAACGCCTATGTGCACTTACAAAGCAGCTTTCCTTGGGGAGCAGAAGATGGGGTGGGGGTGTCACGGACAGGTGGAGAGAAGCCCATCAGATCTTCTCTGCTCACCTAGCTCACCAAGTCTGCAACTCTTTAGCATCATGTCTTTCTAAACTTCAAATGGCAACTCCCTCTTCCTTCCTTGTCTTCCAGTGAGGACAGGAGTTCCATTCCAGGCTACTTCTCTAACAGGGATGTATCCTCGGCCAAGTGACAGAATCTCTCTGATCCTTGGGTTCCTTCTCTTAAAAAAAGAAAAAAAGCCAAAAAAAAAAAAAGAAGAAGAAGGTTGGTTGGACCAAGGTCCCTTTCAGTTCTAAAATGGCATGGGTCTTGTGGGGAATGCTTTCAGAGCACATTTACTCAGTAAACCTGAAAAAGAGAACTTTTTGTTTGCCAAGTGGAGGTACTGCGGCACCTCAGGTTGCAGCCACAAGAGGGCAGCAGGTCCGCGAGCACCTGCGCAGGTGGCCGCGGTGCGCGCCGCGGGAAGAGAAGAAGCAGGCTCTCTCCTGGACCTTGCCAGGGGTCCCGGGTGTTTTCCTGTTGTAAGTGCCAAACTCACTTCTTTAGCAAAGGGCAGCCAGCCAGGTTGGGGTGAGACAAGGGAGCAGTTTTGCAAATTAAGTCTAGCACCAAAGAGATGAAAGACCAGGCCTAAAAAGAAATTGGATTCTAGGAAAGTAAGTATTTTATGAAAAATTGAAAATGTATCCCTGTCCTAGTTTAAGTTGCCTATAGCTCACATTATCAGAGGCACAGCTTTGAGAAGAGCTGGGAGCATTTTACAGGCTGATAAAACGTCTGGCAGGCTAAAAGGTGATTTTAAAAAACTTATTTTGGGCGGCGCCTGCGTGGCTCAGTCGTTAAGCGTCTGCCTTCAGCTCAGGTCACGATCACAGGGTTTTGGGATCGAGCCCCGCATCGAGCCCCGCATCGGGCTCCCTGCTCCTCAGGAAGCCTGCTTCTCCCTCTGCTTGTGTTCCTTCTCTCGCTGTGTCTCTCTCTGTCAAGTAAATAAAATCTTTTAAAAAAATAAAAGCTAATTTGTGAGGCTCATGTGTGTTTTTTTTTAATTTATTTATTTGAGAGAGAATGAGAGATAGCACGAGAGGGAAGAGCGTCAGAGGGAGAAGCAGACTCCCTGCTGGGCAGGGACCCCCGATGTGGGACTCGATCCCGGGACTCCAGGATCATGACCTGAGCCGAAGGCAGTCGCTTAACCAACTGAGCCACCCAGGCGCCCAAGGCTCATGTGTTAGACCAGCATTTACTAAAGCTACTTGAGAAGTTTCAGTTTATTTTGCTCATGTTTAGTAAGCCCTTACTCAGGAAAGAATTATTTCTGGAAGTTTCCAAAGAGCTCAGCCAAGCCAGCACTATTTTTTTTTTTTTTTTTTTTGAGAGAGAGAGTAAAATAACCCAAAATATCATGTGTCATTGAATGAAAAGCACCAGCATGGGCACATTAATGTGTGGAAAGAGGAAGCTCGGTGAGATTGTTGAGGGCTGGTTACTGGCTTGGCTTATCCTCTTCAGAGTTCCAACCAGCAATAATCACATTTCAGATCATCACAAAAGCCCATAGATTCCAGATGACCTGCCCAAGGGCCTTTTCAAATATATAAAAGACCTTGATTCCCCGAGAAGATAATTCCCATTGGAGATTACAATCTTGCAAAACTTCTACAACACCCACAGAACACAACCTTAAGGATATGAGCCTTACATAGAAAGAGAATCTTGCTTAATTATCAGCAGTAGAGCTAGAGCTTCAATCCCCACCCCCAACCAGGGCCATGAAGGGGTGATGTTGGGATTAAGCTGCTCACTGCCTTACTCATCCAGCCTCATTTCTGGACCTCCACTACCTTGTGAGTTTCCAAAACACACCGTGTCCTTCCCCACCTCTCTGCTTTTGCATATCCTGTTCCCTCTGCCTGGCACTCTCTGCCTTGCCTTATCCTTCTAACAAGCTTCTATTCAACCTTCAAACCCCACTCGTGACACTGTTTGGCGAAGTCTTCCCTGACTTCCCCGAGAATCCCTGACAGTTAATCAGTGCTCCCATAGCAGCTGGTACAAAACTTATCCCGTCTACAGTAATTGTTTTCATGTCTGCCTCTCCCCCCAGACCTGAGAATTCCTAATGGGCAGGGCTGATGATTTATCTGTGTCCCCAGTCCTGGCCCAGTGCCTGGCACGTTGTAGATACTCAGCCAATGCCAGCTGAACAGACACGGATTCTCTTTCCTGTAACCAGCAGGGTGTTTTGCAAGGTGACTGACCAGGATCACAGAACAAAACAAAATCATTCCTGGAGGGAGCCCTGGAGCATTGCCCGGTATCAAGAGTTAAATGCAGAAAACTGCTAACATTCAATGTTTGTGCTTTGGAAGGCACACAGCATTCAAAGCTTAATGGAGGCCATTTGCCTAGAATCTATTTTAAGAAGAAGATTACATGTAAGGAGAAATTTTCTGATCATGAGATTAAGCTCTGGAACATGAATTTAAGGGAGTGGTGGGCGCTCCCTGTTGAAGATCTTCATAATCTATATATTTTGGAAAAGGCTGTTAGAAGTGAGTAGGTTAAATATGAACAGAGACTTCTGATTATAAGTTTATGTAACAGAACTGCTCAGCTCTGGGCATTGGACATGGGGTGGGGCTTTGGTAGCTTCCGGTGGAATGACGTGGCCCTCCATGAATGGGTGTTGGGGTTGGATACATAACCGTCACTTCTCTGCACAGCTCCTCACAGCTTTGCCTCATTTGCAAACATCTGAGGGATTAGTAAATATTAGTAGATATGTGTTGTCAAGTAAATAGACTTTGTGAGAGGTGCCAACACCTGCTGGTGCTAAGTGCTTGTGCTTCTCTCTGGCTCCAAGTCTTCCTCTCTGCCTCCTTGTCCCAAAGGCTTTTGGCATGGATGTGGGGAGATCCAGCTTTACTGAAAGACAAAGGAAGAAAGGGGCAGGTAACCTTCAAGGGGAAAGTAAGTGAGTATCATAGCTGGTTCCATTCTGTGCAGGGGGTTCCCTTGCAGGGCACTTTTGGGGGATGGAATTTCTTGAACTGCACGTCAGTCAGAACAACAGTGGGTTTGAGAACAGAGGGAAGGATAACACATGAATGTGAAAGAAGTGATTTCTGAGGCTAGGAAATGATTCTCACCCACAAATTAAAATGGGCACAAGTTCAACATTAGGTTATCAGAGAGAACCATGAATTTATGTTGTACATTTGTACCTTTATAAGTTTAGTGCAATTCCCTCGTTGTATATTTTAAATAGCCTCACTATTTTATTGAAATGTATTTATTGTGATAAAACAGACATAACATAAAACTTAACATTCTAGGGGCACCCGGGTGGCTCAGTTGTTAAGCGTCTGCCTTCGGCTCAAGTCATGATCCCAGGGTCCTGGGATCGAGCCCTGCGTTGGGCTCCCTGCTCTGTGGGGAGCCTGCTGCTCCCTCTCCCACTCCCCCTGCTTGTGTTCCCTCTCTCGCTGTGTCTCTCTCTGTCAAATACATAAATAAAATCTTAAAAAAAAACACTTAATATTCTAACAACTTTTAAGTGTACGATTCTGTGGCAATAAGTATATTTACATTGTTGTGCGACTGTCACCACCATCCAAGTCCAGGACTTCTTCATCTTCCCCAACTGAAACTCTGTACCCATTAAACACTAACTCCCCATTTCCTCCTTCCCCAGCCACTGGCAACTACCATTCCACTTTCTGTATAAATTTGAATACTCTAGGAATCACATAAGTGGAATCATACAATATTTGTTCTTTTGTGACCAGCTGGTTTCACTTAGCACGTCGTTCAGATTCATTGGCATTGTAGCATGTGCCTCATTGGTTTATTATTATTATTTTTTAGAGGGGGGGAGGGGCAGAGGAATACGGAGAGAGGGAATCTTAAGCAGGCTTCATACCCAGCACAGAGCCCCATGCGGGGCTTGACCTCACAATCCTGATATCATGACCTGAGCTGAAATCAAGAGTTGGATGCTTAACCGACTGAGCCACCCACTGTTTCATAAGTGTATCCTGCAAAATCTTATTTCTTAAGGTATCTCCATGTATAAATTAAGTAGGCATCATCATCTCTAGTTTACAGTCGGAGAAATTAAATTGAAGAGAAGGTAAGTGCATCAGATGTGACTGGCTGCTTCTCCAAATCTATATCCCCCTATACTCTCTCCCTCACACCCTTCTTTCTTTTGGCAGAGCTCCGATTTTGTTCTCATATTTACTGGCAAGCTATGCCAGGGACTACTCTTAGCTCCATGAGTAAGTCTTGATTAGTTTGAATCAATCACAGTAATTTCAGTTCCTTTGCCAACGACTGGTTTAGGTGATACACTTTGGGCCAATGAGACATGAGAGAAAGCTGATGCAAGACTTTTAGAAAGAGTTTCTTTGCTTTTACAAATAGACACAAGAAGAAACTTCCAAAATGCTTCTCAACGTGGTCACATGTGTGCGTGACGCTTGGAGCTCAGCAGCCATTTTTGCCACCATGGGAGGAGTTAGCCAAATGTTGAAGTGGCAGAGGAGAGAGATGGAAGGAATCCGATCCTTGATGATATGAATAAGCTGCTGAGTTAATCAACACTGGAACTCCCCACCTTAATCTTGTTATTTATGTGAGATCATAAATTTCCTTATTCTTTAAAGCACTTTAAAATTTTCTGTACTTGCAGCCAAAAAACACCTCATTTTGGGAGGCACTGGAGAAAATGAAGAGAGACACAGATAACAGAGTGACAACTGCCTAGGGAGTTACAACTGGAAGGATGGTGAAAACTGTTTTTTGGGCATGACCATCTGAAACTAACAGGTGTGGTGAGAAGGACTGATGGAAAAAAGCCAGCCAGTGTGGCTCTAAGAGCCAGGGAGCTTTTCTTTCCAATGGGAAGCCCAGCAAATCTCGGAGAGGTGGTATATAGCAAAGTGGGAAACAAGGGCATGATATGAAGATGGCCAGGTGAAGGGCGTTGAAACATCACAACTACAGGATGCTGCTAGAGAAGTAACATAATTGTAACTACATACGAAGCTGACACCTAAGCTGAGCCCATGGTAGATTGTACTAGCTCCTTTTTATAGTTTACCCAAAAGCTTTCTTTTGGCATGTGACCTGGGGGGTATGTGATCCAGTTTTGGACAATCATAGTTCTTCATTGTCCAGGCAACTTTAATTGGTCCAGGTGATGGGCACATGAAAGGGCCAAAGTCCTTCCCTGAGAAATAATATATGGATTTTGAGAAAAAGGAGGTGTTTTTTGCTAACAGATAAAGAGAAGCAGAGATGAACAAAAATGAAAGGCAAATGAAAAAGAATTAGGCGGCCCTGAGTTCTCTGTGTCTGACCCTAAGGCTATGGTTCCTATAGCACTTGGTTTAAATCAACGAGCCATCCCAACGTGGCAGATTATATTTTTCAGCGACGGCCACCATCCCACATACTCTGATTATGTTGCAAAACTGACACTCTTCTCACCTAGTGGTTGTGTCTGTGTCCCCTCCCACTGTACCCGGGCAGAACTCTGTGACTGCCAGGACCAAAACAATATGGTAGAGTGATGTCATGTGACTTTCAATGCTGAGTCATAAATATTCCATGCACTACTGCTTTATTCTTCCAGGACATCTGACTTTGGAATCCAGATACCACACTTGGAGGAGCCAAGAAGAAGAAACCACATGAAGATGCTATGTGTGGGGGTCGGGCCATCAGCCCCAGCTAAAATCCCAGCAGACAGCCAGCCTCAATGCCAGGAGTAAGACATTCCCTGGTGACCGCAGCCATACAGTCACCCTTAGCTTTTGAGTCTTCCCAGCTGAGGCCCCAGACACTGTGGGACAGAAACCAGTCATCCCTATGTGTCCTATCTGAATTCTTGACCCATAGGGTCCATAAGCATAATAAAATGATGGTTTCATGCCACTAAGTTTTGGGATGGTTTGTTATACAGCTGCAGTTAACATGAATACCCAGTGTCCTTCTTAGTTATGTGAACCAATAAATTCTCTTTTTTTTTGCTTAAGCTACTTTGAATTAAGTTTCTGTCACTTGCAACTAAAAGAAATTTGGTTCATATACCCTTTAGTCTGTAGGTGTTATTCACTTTGGCAAATCAGTTATTCAATTTACCAAGAAAGAAAGAAAGAAAGAAAGAAAGAAAGAAAGAAAGAAAGAAAG